GGAACGCAAGCTAAAAAACCCACGCCCCCCCCCCCCCCAAAAAAAAAAACAAAAACAAACAAAAAAACAACCAACTAACTACTCTCTGAGGTACTTGGCTGGAAGTGGGTGCTTCGATGCAAGGCACCGAGGATCATCAGGGAGGGGTGGCAGCCCGAGCAGCAACTCAAGGGCCCAGAGGACAGCTTCTGCCTTTCCACTGGGAATGCTGGGGGTGTTGGGATGGGAGGGAGACTCCAGCTGGGTCCCCAGTGCTCCCTCCTAGCCAGGGCTGGGACTGATCATGCACTTGCCCGCAGGAAGGAGAGAACTGGGGCCAAGGGAAGCCCTGACACAAAGCAGGAGCCAGCAGGAGCTCTTGTGTGGATAGGGCTGCACACCTCTCACATATCTTGCCCTCCAGGTCTCCATTAGACTTCTGCTAGGAAGAAAAGAGCAGGTTCTTGAATGGGGAGCAGAGCAAGGGGAGTTCAGGACCTGCTCTGTAGCTCCTGCCCTGTGTCCTGCTCCTTTGGCACCTGAGTCTCTCATTTCCTAAGTTTGCCCTAAAGCCCTTCATGCTTCCTGGCAAAGGGGCCCATGACCAGCACTGGCACACAAAACAGAGATATGTCCTCTCGCAAAGCATATCTGTCCTAGTCAAATCACAAGGGCACAGGGAAAACAGAGAATTCAGCATGTGACTCTCCAAAAACAAAATGAAAAAAGACACGTTGGGACAGAGATAAACCCAAACTGCTAGGACAAGCAGCTGCAAACAAACATCTGGAGCAGATGTCATCTGACTCATTGCAGGGTGGGGCAGGAAAGGGGCTCATAACCCCAACCAAAACTGAAGTCCTATCTAAAGGGAAACCAAACTATCTGACAGCCAGAGATGGGGAGGGAGCAGGAAGGACTGGAGCAGGAGGGAGCAGGACTCATCTGGTCTGAAGACATTGAGGAAAGCACAGAGAGCCTGAACCATGGCCTGCCTGACACCACATATGCTCAGGGAACTAGACCAACTAGTCCTGGCCTCCTTTGGAAAACTTTTGGCAAATTCCAATCTGTCTTCTCTGCTGAGCCTAAATAACGGGAGCCAGCTGAGGCCCCTCCAGGAATGGGAAGCAGTTAACGTTCTGTGAAGCCACCTGCCTCCGTGAACAGTGTAGGGACCAGACAGCTCTAAACTGCTCTAGCATCTGCAACAACCAGGCCTGGACATGATCTACATTTTACCCTCAACGCAGTCAAACCAAAGCCCTGCACCGAACTCCTCTGCACTGATCAGGGGCTCTCTCCTGCTCCAGTTTCCTTCTGTGTCCCCTATTTTACAAAACATATTGCACAGGTTTGTCACTTCTTTGAGATGAGACATTCAAGAGACCTGGCCAGACTCCTCAGCCCTGCACCTAGGCTGTGGCATGTTTTGCCATTAGCAACGGGACTTCCGCACTGACCCAGAAAAAGCCTATTAGACAGAAGGCTATTGGCAGGCATCCTGGCCTCCCACCAGTTATGGGAGGCAAATATGCTGCAATAGTAGTGCAGGACTCCACCTCACCGTGCTAGTGCCAAGCGAAACTTGCTGTAAGGATCTGATATGTGGACAGTGATGTTCTCATCCTACAGCTCCAGCACTTGGGGGAGGTCACCCTGTATGTGCATGACTTAGGAGGCCATGAAAATGATGAGACTTCATATGTTGAGTCATTCCACCATCAGGAGAGGAAGCAACGAATTGCAAAGATACAGAGGTGGTAACTAAATTTACAAGTAGGATTCATTTAGAAAGGCGGAAAAAAAAAATCAAAGTAGAGCAAGTTGGAAAATTCTGTTCATTAGTTTTCTTTAAAAAGTTTCAATGATCTATTTCACATTCTCATTGAAGTAAACTAGTTCCTCAAATCCTCAATGAAAAAAGGATCATCTCCCCTAAAAAGTTTGTTAGGAAGAAGGAGTTTAACTAGCACCAATAGAAAAGTGAACTGAGTGTTCAAAAAGAAGGATACCTCTTGGTGGAAGTCTCTCCCCCCAGACATCACTTGAAAATAGGAAGCCAAGCAATTATTGGCATATGGGTTAATATGCTTGCAATATATTTTATAATTGATGCCACAGAGACATGGACAGATCTTATGGGGGTACGCACACTTATACCTACAGGAAATGCTCTGAGGAGGTCAATGCCTTAAAACCCAAACGATTTCAGAGTCCAGAACTGGCCTCAGAGGACCTAAAAACTTCATGGGCACGGGCCTCTCCCTCCTTAATGCCAGGGAGTATTCAATATAACCCAGAGCATCATCCTGAATTCTCCACAGCTTATGGAAACAGGCTCTGCCTTTGGTCAGAGAAAGTATCTTTCAACAACCTCCCTCACACCCTAAGTGAAGTCGGTGTCAGGACTTTAGTCATGCAAGTAACACACACCAGACACAAGCTTCACGCCAGGGATGAGGTTCATCTCCCCTTCCTCAGGGAACTAAGAGCTCAACATTTTGATCTCTTACAGTCAAGGGAGACAGGCACCATCAGAAGATAATTTATCCCTTGTACTTTCAAATGGGATATACCACACTCTGGAACTGCCTTTCTCTGCAACAGAGGGAGCTTGGATCACCCCATATTTCTGGATAGCAAATGTTAAAAAAGAGGAATCCCAGTGTGATAGCTTAACTCCTGCCCCACCCCAGAGCCAGCGCTGAATCCTACCCACTCTCTGCAAAGCGAAAGCCTACTAGGACAATCTGTAAAACCTCCCTTTCCCTTTCTCCCAACTACCTAGGAAATAAAGATCTAGGATTATCAATAAAGAGACTGAGAAATCATCATCCAGCATGTGCAAGCATACCAGGAAGCCGAACCTTTCATCTGGCACCATTCACAGCAGTATCATGAATATTATTAGTAATAGTCCTAGCCATCCTAAAGTTATATTTATATATACAAAAATAGATCCACAGAATTCTACATAAAGAGGTGGCTGAGTGTATGCAATGGACAAGCCTTGGATGGCAGGGTCTTGGAAGAAGCTGAGGGACATGTTGCATATATTTCTCCAGGGGAACCGTTCGCTTCCCTCCGCACACACACCTGCACTCCAACGTCTCGGAAGAAGGCCAGGCAGGCAGGGCCAAGCACTAGAAAATCAGCCTGGCTCTAAATTCCCCAGGCCAATGTCAGGCGGATGTCAGCAGGGGTCACAGCTGAGACTTGGCATCACATGTTTGCAAGCAGAGATGGGGCTGGGTCTAGCTCCAGGAACTGCTCCCTCCAACTCCCTCCCAACTACAGGGACTAGGTTTGGCTTATTATAGTCACAGCAAGTAAACCATGAAGCACTGACCCAGATTCAGGTTTCCTTCTGGTCTGCAGATGGCCCAGCCTGAGGGGTTGGTTCAGACCCATCTCCAGTTTGCAGCAGGTGGCCACCCTTGCAGAATACCCTCAGCAATGCAGCAGGATTTGCCAGCTGGTGTGACGCTGGTGTTGGTGTGACATGCCAATGGGCCAAAACTAGGTGAGGATTCAGAGGCTACCTCTGTGGGGAGGAAAGTTCAAGTTTGCATTTGTTAGACACTTCCTTCTGCTCTGTTTCCCTCATCCCAAAGCAGAAGCCTCAGAAGTCCCTGCTGGGGAATCCCCCAGGATTGTTGTTAAATGACAAGGAAAGCAGTGTGAGTGGTCAATCGCAGACGGTTCAGTTCGAATTTTTTAAAGTGAATTCAGTGCTGGTGGAAAGTACCAGATCAGCAGGTCTCTACAGATTTAGAGAAGAGATTGGCAGAACTAAGCCCTATTCCTGCCCCCTCGGTGTACCTCACCCTGTCCTGGAAGGAGAATTCTGTGAGGGGAGAAAGGAAGACAAGCATCTCAGCCTGCTCTGCTCTTGGGGCTTGAGCACAGAGCGGCCAGGGTGGGCACTGGTGCCTGCAGCGTCCACTCCACGGAACGGAGCCTCCCAGCTTTGCATGATGCAGCCAGGCAGCAGCACTGCCCCTCACTCACAGCCCTCTGAGCGTGCAACGAGAGCTCTTTGGACGTAGCCCTTTAGCACTGCACCTCAAGGCATTACAAATTGAATGGCAATTTCAAAGCAAATTCTTGTTCTCAGCCAATTCCCCGAGGGGACCTTTCCCTTGCTGCAGCCGGGTAGAAGAGAGAGCGGGCCAGGCTGCTTCCAATACCTGCCCCTTCCTATGCCAGAAGGTTTCTAAAGCTTTCCACATCTTCCCTTTCTTTTTCAGACAGAAAAATAAAAAGTCACTTCATTTTGAAGCTCACTTGCTTCTCCCAGTGACTTCCAACTGCCATTCAGCAGGCCTATGCAGCGTTTTTTAAAAGCCTGCCACAGTGGGAGAGGAGACTCTCAGAGAGGCCACACAGGAAAAGTGCCAGAGAGAAAGAGAAAAGCCATGTTCCAGTTCCTGGAGGGCTCTCGTGTGGGGATGCACGAACCCACCTCTTCCCCCTTCCAGAAAGGCCCAGACCATACTGGAGGACAGGGATAGCTTCTAAGGCCTTCCGAGGTCAGAGTCCTGAGGTCTCCCCTCCTCCCTCCAGAATGCCCTTCCCCACATAGCTATGACTGGAGAAGGCATCCACTGCCTGTTACAGTCCCTTGTCGGCATGTGCAAAAACATCACCTCCCGCGTGCCACCAGCTCGGTCACTGCAGTGAGCTCTCCTTGCCTCTGAGCAGCTTTCGTGCTCCTGGGAAGCCGAGGGACCCATAGTTCATTTGTCTCATTCCCAGAAAGTGGTGATGGGCAGGGGGGAGAGTTGCAGAGCAGAGGGAGCCAAAGGAGGAGGGGGAAGGAAGGGAAAGGAGGAGGAGAAAGAGAAGTAAAGCCTGCTTCTCCTCCCGGGAAGGTCATACCGGCTTATCCAGTGTCTTGGGGAAGGGTGTGCCACTGGAGGAGGAGATTTTTCTGCAGACTGTGTTGGTGTGGTTCTGGCAGCGGCAGCCAGGTCGTTTCAGGCCATCATAACCCCGCTGGCAAAGTTTGAGGCACCCCAGGGTAGGAAAGTAGCAGCAGAGGCAGGGCATGAGGAGAGAGAGGAAGCTCATGGCAGCCCAGCGGGCACAGCAGGATCCCGGCCCACAGGAGCAGGGGTCGTCAGCACAGGTATCCTCATCGTCAGTGGAGCAGTGGTAGAAGAGACCCTTGACGCAGCAAAGGCAAGTCCCATAATCGAGGAGGCTCTCTGGGGAGCAGAGGCAGCGCTGGTTGCAAAGCCAGCAGGAGGGTAGGCTGCGGGCAGCTGTGCAGCGGGCACATTTGCACCTCCCACACTCCTCGCAAATGAAGAGGTGCCCTGTGTGGAGGGTTGGCTTCTCCACCACCCCCTTCAGCGGCGATTCCTCTGGCTTCAGCTCACCAGCTCTGGGCTGCGTGCGGATGAGGGAGTGTCCAGAGTGGGAAGGTGTGAGGCTGCTCAGGAGCCGCTGGTCCGAGGCAGTGGTGCTTTGGGACACGGAGCTGGCCGTGCTGGAATGGCTCATGTGCTGCTGCAAAGGTGGCATCTGGTGCTGTTGGCTGTGGCTGCGGTGCAGGTCCTGGAAGGTGGAAGACAGCAGGCGGTCCTGAGACCACTCCTGCTTGTGTGGTGTCTGTGACAGGGATGGATTGGAGTGAGCTTGCTGGAAGCAAACAGCCGGTCTCTCCACGTAGTTGTTGCTGGCACGGATGGAGCGGATTTGGTCAATGGACAGGACCTGTTGGAAGTCCTCAGCAGGTGGGTCCATTGTCTCGTCACAACTGAGTTCAGCCGCACTGGAAGAAAGCTGCATTTCCAGGAGTAAGGAGACTCTGTGGCATCAGGGCACATCTAAAAATCCTAAAGGATGAGGCAGGAAGACAGAGAAAGCATTTGTTACTATTTGATCCATCCATACAAATCAGGAAGTGAAGGTTGCCTGGAGAGCTACTCCAAGCAGCTAACAAGGTTAGTTATTTCCAGTAGCCATATTCAAGGTACTTCTGAGCCTGAAAAGACTTTGGCTGGTCATTTCCAAAAGACAAAGTCCATAAGATCTGTCCCTTGAAACAGGTGGACACAGCATCTCCCTGTGTTGTTGAGCTTTACATGTCCCTCCACAGAAGGCTTTCCTAGCTTCTTTCAAGCACTGATGGGACTTGTCTGACCACCTTCCCTCTCTTTCCTTATGGGAAGTGCCAGCCCTCTCTAGAGGAAGGGAAACTTGAGGCTGTGACTTATCCAGAGTTCAGCGACAGAGTCAGGAACAGGATATCCCCCAGAGCAGGAGGGAGGCTTCCCAACGCACCCAGTACAGGCCCCTAGTGCCATACACTATATTTGCCGGGGCTGAATTTCAGGGACATGGGGAAGGAGGTGAACATTTAATTTCAGGCAGCATCAGCAACAAACCACAACTAATAAGATGTGTGTTTGGCCGAGAACAGGCCCACAGATCTCCATCTCTGAGTCCTGGCAATTTCCACTGCAGTACCCAGGGTTTTCCCACTCGCAATCTAGTGACAGCCCAGGAGCCAATTTACCCCCTTCACAAACACTCTGAGAAAGGCAGGTTTCTTTTTAACCCCAACATAAATACATGGTGAAGCAAGGAAAGCAGATTTAGCAGCAGGCAAGCCCTGTATTGCTTCTTGCACAGAGGTTGCCATGATGTTTGCTTTTGTTGTTTTCAGGAAATGGGACTTCCTGAGTCGACAGCACTGGGAACAGTGACCACTTTTTCAGGAGTGGAGGTTAGCACCCTTGGAGGGCCGTGAGCTAGTGCAGGGAGGAGTCCCTGTGTCCAGCCACTCTTTTGGCAGACGACCACCAGCAGGCTTAACCTCACAGCATCAGCAACACTGCCAAAACCTCGGGCCTTCAGACCTTGCCACCGGAGTCTGAGTGAAACCTCTGTGGGGCTGGCCCTAGGTGAGGAAAGGAGGATCACAGGACTGGATCTGTCTGCCTCTCCACAGTGGATCCAGATCTGAGCCCTTATGAGGGAAGAGGAGAGAGAAACTTCCCACTTCAGCTACATGCAAAATGAAGCTATGAATAGTAGCATAGAAGCACACAGAGAATGGAAGCCATTAGTTTCATGCCAGACACCAGCAATGTAGCTGGGAAGAGTTTTTCCCCAGCATTTCGAGCCCTGATTTCAATATGGGGTACATATCTTTTGTGGACAGCCAACTTTCTCAGGACAAAGCCATTCTCCTCCAGCAGATCAGATGTGTGATCCATAAGTGATTCAGCTATTGTCACATTGCCCAGGCCCACAGGAAGAATCTGTTTCAATAAGAAGCTCCACACCATCATTATACATGGTCAGCAGGCCAGGTGGCCAGCAGTGGCAGAGGCTTTCAAGTAGGTGAGGGGCCACAGGTAGAATCTGCTCATGCAGCAAAGAGAGGCAGAGGGAAGATTGATTTTCATTAGCTAGGCTGACCTTGAAGAGCAGGGTAAAGCAAAGGCAACTTATTTTGACTGTTAAAGCAAGATCTGACCTGTCCCATCCCCCTCCTCAGAAAGAACAGGCAACTGATCTGATCATATTTGACTTTTTCTTTGCATGGGGCCCACCTGCCTCCCCCTCCAAGTGATCGCAAGAGAGATGCTTACCCCATCCAAGAAGACACAGGCAATGAATACGTTGTTCTCCCAGTGTGCCCATGACTGGCTTGGGAACCAATTTATTTAACAGAAACAGCAAGGTGAGCTAGGAAGGCACAGGTGTCCAAGACAAGCGTTTTTGAGAACATTGCTGGGATGGGAACGGGCCGCAGAGGAAAGCACGCTCTCGTCAGCAGTTACCTGCAGGCCCTGAGCTCCACATACAGAAAGCTCTTACAAAAGCACAGACTGGTGAACTAGAGTCCTCTGGACCCCTGAAGAGATATAACATGTACCTGCAGCTAGGGCAGAAAGCCAGGGAGCAACCTCAGTGGGCTCCCATGTCTCACAGGACCCAGATCCCATTTATCAATTCTAGGGGAGGATGCCGATTTACACTCACTGTGGTAGGAGCTTCTCATATCTGGGTGTCTGTCCCCCCTAACCTGTTCTTTGGGAGTTGGCAGCGCACAGACTTTTGGACTCTGCCAACGAGACTTGGGGCTCTGGGAAAGTTCCCACGTGGGGCCTGAACATAGTTGCGACCCAAAGGGAGAGACCTGGACAGCAGAGGGTACCACTGCAATGGAGTCAGTGGAATTTGGAGGTTAAGCGCATCCAAAGGGCGGGCCCAGTACAGCTATACCCACCACTCTGTGCAAGACTAGGACAAGGCACTCAGGAGACACAGAGAGACCTGTGAGATCAGACCATGCTCAGGTGGTAGCAATGGGACCTGGGACACTGGGATGAGTGAGGTCCTAGGGACAGCAGGCAGATGGAGGAGCTGGGAATCAGGCCATGAAGTACGTTGCAACATGCACACTTAGGATTTGAGATCTAGCTTTGGACCCAGCATCCTGGGCAAGAAAGCCCACTCCAGAGGACTGAACTAGGACCTATGTGCTCCTAAACCCACAATCCCCAGACATAGGGCTCAGGCTCCAACGCAGACTCACTGGCCAGGGGGCAAAGATGCCCCTCTGGGACCTGAGCGGATGTTAGCCAGTGTGGTCACCAGGAGGCGGAGGATCTGGCAAGCGCTGGGAGCACTGAGACCCAGGCAGCCCAGCAGGATGGAGGAGAAGGGGGACTGAATGACCAGAGCCATCCACAGGCAAAAGTGCGTGGAAGAGCCAGCTGCAAGCATAGGTAGCGGGACCAGTGCGCAGGGGGCCAGGGCCTGGCACCAGGACTGGGCTGGCTCTGCCCGTGCCCGCCACCGTGCCCGTGCCTTCCTCCCACACCCAGCCCGCCCTGCTCGAGCCGGGTCGCAACGCCATCCGGCACAAGCGAGCCCGACCCCGGGGCTGCCGGCAGTCCCTTCCCCCGGGCTGTCCATCCGTTCATCCTCAAGCCACACTGGTGGCCACACTGGCCTCGCCGCCTGGCTGCTCTCTCCCCGCCTACCTGGCCGAGATGCTGCCGGGAGCCTTCCAGGGGGGACCGGGGCAGTGTGTCCCCAGCCTCCTCCTCCTCCTCCTCACACCCTCCCAGCAAGGCAGGCATGCCAGCCCCGGAAACTGGGCGAGCTTTATGGCCGGCAGCAGCACCAAACATATAAAGTTTGTGTGATAATGGGCCAGAGGAGGGATCGTAAAAGCAAATGATTTACAGGCGCGTTCTGCGCTGGAGGTGGCTGTGAGCCGGGAGCGGTCTTCATAGAGTGTACAGGTGGGAGAAAAGGGCTTTTCGCCTGCGATCCCCTCGGAGGGGCACCCCCCCCCATCACCCCCAGCACCTTGCCCTG